AGCACGTACACTCCTCACGCACCGGATACCGTGCACGCGCTCAAGGCAGTTGGACATAGTGGTGTATTAGAGGTAAAAAATGATATAAATACTGTTCGGTTTCTGGCACAAACCGATCGTTTCGTGTCTTAGGACATCAGTGTGTCGTCACGAGCCGCAGGGTTTAATTTTGATTTGTCTGTGCATGTTTTTTTTTACTCTCATAGATTTTGTTACCATTGCCATGCATTATACGACTGATAGACTGCAACGGTTGGAGTTAAAAATCATCATATGTGTTCTACTGAAGAAACAAAGTCACCTACATCTTGGATGCCCTGGGGGTAAGCAGATAAACATCAAATTTTCATTTTTGGGTGAACTATCCCTTTAACGTTGGTCGGCATGTGGCGTTATTTTAACGCGTGGTGGCGTCTGCCGATAACTTATCGACTAACGGCGTTTTAATATTGATATGGCGGTGAAAAGCAGGCGAATTCTGAACTATCTGGCTTTCGATAGTTAACAAGCAGATAGCGCCGCGCTGTCAGAATACATATTGCGTGCGTGTATTAGAAAACATAACGTTTTGCAGTTTATTTACTATAAACAGTCTCTCGCTGTCGGTGCTTGTAATGATTTTTATGTCTTTCCAGTTTTAAATGCTTCCACACTGTGCCGCATTAAAGAGTGCGCGCCTCTCACTCTTCGCTGGTTGCCATTTGATCGCGTCATTGTTCGGTACAATTTATTCGGTCGAACACCGAAAGAGCTTTTTTTTTTTGCTACTTTCGGCCGAATAATTTCGGTTGCCGAACATTCGGTGCATCCCTAGTCATTGTGTGTAAAACATTTCAAATGAGATGGATTGCATGTTATAGGGTGTCAGCTGTCAGTCATAGGTGAGTTTCAAATGAGTGTGAAGATGTCACCTGCAGCTCAAATTTTGTAAGTCCAGACGTAGTTTAAACTCTAATGTGCAAAGTTTTGTACAACTAAACTACAACAAAGTAAACACTTCAATACTCTCAGCTTTTGTGGTTTTGTACATTGATAATACATTCAACTTCTTTCTGGTGTACAAGATCAATGTTAATTGGCGCGATATGCTTGCGTATTTTTTTATTATTTATTTTTTGTTTAATTTGTTTTAGTTATTTTCTGAAGTCATGAAACTAAGAATGTTTCCTCAGAATGACTTGTTCTCCATAAGTTTGGACTTTGTGCACACGAAATAAAGGCATGATAGTCATAATGGGAAACACCCAGCTAATTCCCAGATCCCAGCAGATCATATACTAAACACTTTAATGCATCATTTTTTAAAAAGTAAATAAATAAATATTATTTATATAATTAGTAATGGTCATAGCCCTGTATCTATGTATATGAACACAGTCATGAACAAAGCAATATAGTAGCTTGAAGTTTAATCTGGTTTGTAATTTAAATTTTAAAGCTGTATGATTGGAGGAAAGAGAGAGGCATTTTGTACAGCAGGTATTTGAACGTACATTAAAAAATAAAAACAGACACTGAAAGACCAATAGGGCAGCATGCTCTTACAACATAGCAGTGCTTTTGCACTTACAATAGAGGATAAACTCTTACATGACAATGAAAATAAAATGATTTTTACCAAGTGGTAAAATAATTACATGTACATTTATTAAAAATAATAAGTGTAAACTTAACAATCGTAGCCTACCTTCCATGCAGTGCTTCTGGTTTTTAAAGAATTTTAAATAATAATAATTTCAGCAGAGCTTAATTAAGTCCCATGCTCTTGTCTCCCAAGTTGCAAATATAAGCTTTCAGTTGTTCAATCTTGCAATATACAAACCAGAAATTACAGTCGATTTGTGCATTTATTTGTGCAGAGACAAAGGCTGACAGTCATTACATGTAGAGTTAGTCTTGGTCTTTTATGATGCAACGCCTATTATAGTTTTCGTATAACTATTATAATAATAGTCTAAATCTCTGCTTTATGAAAACAAAAGACTGTAGGAAATATTCTTCACATTTTAGGACCAGCTGCAGCAGTGCTCCTTTTGTTAGATCAGTACTGACATTCAACCGATATAAATGTCCTATAAAGAAACTTTAAATGAAAACATATACAAAGAGTCAATGAACATATCAATAGTGTCTTCTCACATATTTCCTTACAAAGAATGTATATTCACACAGTATGCTCACTGTACAGAGACTAGCTGTGCTTGGCAACAGTATGAGGAAGCTTGTCCTCTTAAACTCTACAACCCGTACAATGCACAGTCAGGAGGGTAAAGGCCTGCATTAAAGCACTAACACTTTAGTAAAGAGAGAGTCTTACGGTAAATAAATAAAACATAATCAGCCACATCACAAATAGTCATACACAGATTAGAAATATCTACATATTTATCTTAACACAGGTGTTTGCAATGGTGGACTCTCTTAAGGCAGCACGTATTGCGTATACTTTAAATGAAGTGAGGACGAACGATGAGGTGCATATATGGATTCTCTACCTTAGCATTTCCTTATAAATCTTAAAACTGGATGACTTTGGGAACAAATCATCTACTATATCACAGCACATCCACGTTACCTATAACTTACTGAACTTTAAATACAATCTAAAGGATGATGAAACAGCTTTGCTTCAGTGCCGATAGTTTTAAACTTTGTATGTAAATAGACACCCCGTATTTTTTATTCCAGAGTAAAGACAATTCATACAATACATTTAAACTGAGCTACTTTAATACCATCTCCGAACTTTCTACCACGACTCTGCTGTTCTTCGGCTGGTTCTTCCCTGTATACGTTGATTGACAGATGTCTCGTCCAGTCAGCCGTGAGTAATCCCAAACCAATGGCGCTGTCTCAAACTATACCTACCTCTTCCGGTTTGTCTGATTTGTCGTTGTGTTTTTTGACTTGTTAATTTGTTTTCGAATTTGTCATTGTGTTTTCTGACTTGTTATAATGTTTTCTGAATTGTTGTTGTGCTTTCTGAATTGTTATTTTGTTTTCAGAATTGTGATTTGCTTTGCACTTCACGGCCACCGTACTTCTTACCTGCTTTCAGTGCAACAACCAAGCAAGCTACTCATTTACCTTCAAGTGATTTTCTTTCCCTATCTCCTTTCTTCTCTGAGCCAAGAGGTTGGGGATCTAAAAATATGTACCTTGTCATCTGGATAATAACCAGAGCGTATTTCAGCATGACTGTGCATAATAAAAATGTCCTTCAGATATGTGGTGCTAAAGTAAACCGAACGAGGAGAAACATGCAGTTCTAGTCACGATGGGCCAGAACAGCGGACTGCTTTCAGTTCAAGTTTCCACTTTCCCGAAGGTGCCCTCTGGTGGTCGGTACTGTTTAGGGAAAGTCTTCAGCTGGAGGGAGTTGAAAGCGTATTTGCGGCTGCCTACGTTTTTCATGGTGTTTTCTCGCCTGCAGCCCTCGCTGTGGAACAGAGAGGTGATTGAGAGACAGAAAAGGCCATTCACACACCAAAAACAATAACTATAACGATGACTATATTAGTGTCCACACCAACGCATGATAGCGTTCTGTTTATTATAAGCACGCACTGCAGTTTGCCACTTTAAATGTTCAAGTCGGGTGGATTCTGAATGTTTGTCAAATGTGTTTACTGTTCATCAGATAGAAAAAAAAAATCGTTCTGGAAGTGATTCCAATGATTTCGTTCCTCTGTTTTTAAAACTATATCTTCACAGAGTTTCTGTAGGTTTTATGAAGGTAAATGTAAGATTTTTAAGACCAAGTAAAAAAAAAAATTAAGGAATAAATCACATTTTCATTTTTGGGTGAACTATCCCTTTAATAATACAGAAAACAGGTTTTATATCCCACTGACAGATATTTGTTCTTGTTTTAAGCATAAACACATTTAATTTGTTCAATTTCTCAGAAAACAAGACTTCATATCTTCAGTTGGCATCTCAAGTAAATGTAGGTTGATTAAAAAATGTTTAGATATTGGTATTAGAAAAAAACAGTTCATGCATTAATTGCCATGACTCTATGAATTTAAGATTTTGTGCTCCAATTTAAGACCTGTTAAGGCCTTAAATTGTGAAAACATGAATTAAGACTCTAGAGTATTGTCACTATCATTATAGTTATCATGCTTGGTGTGAACGGTCCTTAATGTGTGAATGAATGATTCCTAACTGCAAATGTTGTCTCACCTGCGCATACAGTCCAAAGCCTGTGTGAAGACCTGCGGGGCCATGCAGTGCTCTTGCTGGAGGATTTGACATTGCTCCAGGGTCACCGACATGGCCGTACGATCCTTTGCACTCTTGCAGCTGGTCACACGCACACCATTCAGACGCCGACAAACCTGACATAACAAGTGAGAACGATTGCATCCTGGTAATGTACACTCAGACTATTTCTAGGAGTTCACTAGTGCCATTATTTTGTAATCAGATCGTAGCTCTGAATTATGATTTCCCATGTTTCAGACACAAGAGAATGTAATAATAATGTTAGACCACTGTACCTCTGCTGCCTGCAACAGGATGTCCACATTCTTGCTCTTCCTGGCATTAACATTTTGACTGAGGAACTTGAGTAGCTCAGGCACACAGTTCTGACTGCGAGAGCGGGGCAGACCTATGGATAAGAGTCATTCAACTGGTTAGGACTGACATAAACCATCTACTAACTTTCTTTCATGAGCAGTATAGGAGAGTGTTCAGGACTCACAGTCTTCAGGCAGCACTTCTTTAAACTGGTCATAATAGGAGGTAAGACGAGCTAGACTCTCCATATTCACTACTTCCTGCAGTGATGTGTCTCCAAACCTAAAGGGTAATGCAAAATGAATTTGAATACTAAAATGTATATTGCATATTGACAGTCCAATGAATTACACTGTATGAATAACCGAAGAGGCAAAATATTGGGTCTAATTCACTAAGCATGCACACACACACACACACACACACGTTTACTTAGCTATCTAAATGGGGACATTCCATAGGCGTAATGGTTTTTCTACTGAAGAGGCAAAATATTGGGTCTAATTCACTAAGCATGCACACACACACACACACACGTTTACTTAGCTATCTAAATGGGGACATTCCATAGGCGTAATGGTTTTTCTACTGTACAGACCGTATATTCTATTGCCCTACAGCAACCCTACACCTAAACCTACCCCTTACAGGAAACTTTCTGTATGTTTACAATTTCAAAAAAAACTTTGTTTACTTTATTTTTATACCAGTTTTACAAATGAGGACGTCCCCAAAGGGAGGTTTTTGGAGATTTTGTCAGGTTTAGCTCACTTTTGGGTACAAATTTGTCCCCAAAATATGGTTAAGTAGGTACGCACACACACACACAGTGTGCATTAAATCTGCATACAAAGTTTATGAAAAAAGGAACAACTTAAACCTTCCATATGCAAAATTCACATACTCTGGCTGACCTTATAATCGCATTAAGATAAAATTTTATTCATAGATATTTCATCTTTAAACTATGTATTTAATTTTATATAATGTAAGAAAAGCTGCATTATAACTCACATGTGTACAAATTCACATGTGTAGCTACAGCTGGCTAATGAGATTTCTGTAATCTGTGTCTAACTGTTTTTTAAAAATGGCAAACTTTGCATTGCTCGAGAATCTTGCTGCACATGTGACAGCGTGTATTTAGAGAGCGTCATATGTTTGCTGAGAGTGACGAAAGGCTGTAAAGAAAAAGTTGTGCGGAAAGCCCTAGAGATAGTCTGGGCGTGCTTTATGCAAATAACTAACCTCAAGCATGCAATAGCTCATTTAGAATACTACAAATTCACTCAAATTAGAATGAGATTAAGAATGAATTCATGTGCTTATATGCATGTGCTGTGAATTAGGCTGACATTTGTTGCGAGAAGTTCTCCTGTGCGTATAAATACTGATAATCCATGCAATTATTAGTGGACGAGACCCAATGTGTTTAAATCAGTCCACACAAAGAAACAGAAAGTATATTTAATTCGTACACTTACTTTTCCGCTAGCGTTTGTTGCTCATTGATTCCTACATTGAATAATACTGGTTGAACTCGCAGCAGCATCCCATTTTGGATCTCCCGTGGCATCACATCAAACATCACCCCCGGTAAAGGAACTCGCACGTTAAACCCATCTCTGTTGCCCGTGATGACAGGCAGCATGTCGGGGCTGAAGCTGGAGGTCGCCTGGGTCACTTTAAAGGTGACATTCCGGAGGTCCATGACGCCTACACTCATGTCTTCCAGCATGGCGAGTTCCTCCCCTTTAAAATGAAAAAAATAATAGTTTACCACCTTATATAATAAGTTGAATGTGCAAGCTGAATTGAAATGTGTTTGTATGTTTACCGTAGGTGCTCAGGAGCCCCTCAAACTGGACCAGTAAGCCGATCGTGTGGAGTTGTCTGAGGAAGCCACTGTCACTTAGACAGTTCCTCAGCTTTATCACAAACCCACAGATCAGGGCCGTCAGCTACAAAGAAATATGTATATTATTAAAATGGATATAAAAATATAATTTACAGTCTGCTAGGGAAATGTCTATACACTGGAAAATGCAGCATTGCATTATTAAAATGCCTGGATTGCATTATTAAAGAGTTTTGTAGAGTACTCTGAAAGTAGAACCATTTTCGATACAAAAAAATGATACAAAATTTCCATCATTACCAAGCCTGGTGAAACTGATGCATTATGGGATGAACATCAATATGGCATTTTTTTAAATATATTTTTCAAATGTAAAATATATTGTGTTTAAACCTTTTTTAATATATAATTTGGTTTAATTTGTTAACGTTAGTTAACTACATTAGTTAACATAAATTAACAATGAACAATAGTTGTTCAACATGTATTAATCTTAGTTAATGTTAATTTCTATATTTAGTAAAACATTTCAAAAGGTTTATCTGTTAACATGCACTGAGAAACTAACATGAACAAACAATGAAAATTTGTATTTTTATTAACCAACATTAACAAAGGTTAATAATAAATACTGTAAAAATATATTGCACATAGTTTATGTCAACTAATGCATTAACAAATGAGACCTTACTGTAAAGTGTTACTGGTTTAATATATTACAAAATACATTAGAAAATGTAATGTAAGTGGCAGGAAAATACATTTCCAATCTTAAAATACTTTTTGGGTAAATTCAGAAATATATACTGAAACTTTCTACAGAGCACATTCTACGTGTGCCTGGTTATAACCCATTCACAATAAAACGATGCTATATAGATCTCTATAGAATAGTTTGTACTAACTGTCTGACAGAAAACCACATCTCTGCGGTACTGTAGTGACAAACTCATGGCGATAGTGGGAGCGCTGTCTTGCATCAGTAGAAACACCATGGACTTCTTGGCTTTGTCGCTCATCATTGCTACACACTCATTCAGAGTGGTCAGGAGGGGATACAGAGCTTCACTCCATTCACCTAGAGCCGTAAATACAGACAGCTGAAAAAAACTGGACAGCCCACATATACTGTATGTAGCTGCAACTGGTACAAACAGTTTGAAGTGACAGGCTTACCAAGAGAGGAGCCTTCAACACTGGGACTACCATCTAAAGCAGGACAGAGTGAGAATAAGTGTTGTTAAAGACAACCGTGGTAATACTACTTTTATATAATTATTTAATATTATATTAATCCATAAGAAAGCCAAAAGTAGAGTAGATCTGACAACTGTTTATGAAATCTTGTGATGTAATGTTTGGTTTGTTAGCATATACATGCATATCAAAACATAAGCAACTACAACCAGGCATTTTGTTGCATTCTACTCAACTCTTTATCTTGAGTATCTGGCAGTGAAACCCCTTGTGAAAAAGAAGTGTGCTTAATTGTATTGAATGTGCACTTGCAGTGTACTTCAAATCTTAAAAATGTATCTTTAAAGGTAACACTTTAGATTAGGGAACACATATTCAGTAACTCTTAATTCAAGAGTTTTCCCTCAATAAACTCCTAACTTGGTGCTTATTAATAGTTAGTAAGGTAGTTGTTAAGTTTAGGTATTGGGCCGGGGTAAGGGATGTAGAATATGGTCATGCAGAATAAAGCATTAATATGTGCTTTATAAGTACTACTAAACAGCCAATATGCAAGTAATTATGCATGCTAATAAGAAACAAGTTAATAGTGAGAACTGGTCCTTAAAATAAAGTGTTACCTTTTTAAAAACTCATACTAGCAGATCATACTATTTTAATGAAATAAAAGACCACTTTTTAAATAAAAACTTACACTATATTTTCATTCAATTGCAGTAAACATGCAATTAAGTGTCCAAAAATGTTACATTCAGTTCACACTTAAGTATATTTTTTCCATAATAAGTACTCTTTTCAAAAGTATGCTAAAGAGTACTTCTTTTTCACAAAGGTCTCCTTGATGGTTGAAATCAGAGATATCAAGTAGGAATGTGCCACATCTGATTTTCAATGGAGTGCAGAATCATCACTTGTGCCACTAAAAGAGGATGTAAAACTGAAAGCATCTGTGCTATTTGAGCAGTTTTAAAAGGAATCAAAACAGAACTTAACACAGGGTGGAACCTACAGGAGAGTGTGTTAGGACTGGATGGACATGCAGGGTTCAGTAAGGATGATGAGGATGCTGGTAACAGTGAAGAGGACTGAGCTGAAAGAGGGTGTGATGAGGTCAGGGGGGTGGAGAAACCGTCACCAGGGTTGATCCAGAATGCATTGCCCTGGCTACCTCTCTTGCTGGTGTCGGCCTGCTGGTCAGACAGGAAGACGTCTTCACTGCTGTCGCTCTGCGAGCGCTCTCTCGACAGCAGCCTGTCCACACAGCGGATCACACACTCCAGACTCTTATCCACATTGAGCCAGATCTTTTCCTGAAGCAGAAACAGAGGAAAAATGTCAGATTCTGCAGTATTTCTAAATCATGAGAAAATAATGGCAGTCTCTGAATCTTACCCACTCCTCCTCCTGCCAGTTTAGGTTCATGGATGCTCTGTTCCCTTTCCCGCTCCATTTGGCCTGTGGAGAGCCCTGGTCGTTCCTCAGGACCACACGCTCAGTGTCATGGGTGGACGCAGAGCCTCTGGAGGCAATGAACTCTGGGCGTGCAGCACTCAGTGCCTGGATAGCTGTAGTTAGCAGCTTACTGTCACACACTGTCACCAGCTGCCGTGTCTGAGAGAGCCACAGAGATTGCACTTACTCATTAAGTGGATCTCAACAGCTTTTACTTGCTAGATATGTTGAGCATGAGAAACACCTTGTAATAGCTTTCATTAATGAACCCTTTTCACATTCCTGGGGTTCTCAGAAGCAACACTGTAAAATTAAAAAACAGAATTGTAATAATATATAATTACATTTATAATAATACAATTAAATTATTTTATTAAAATAATTTCATATTTTAACATTTTAAATTGTATTTTTTTAATTAAATTGTACATAAAAATGTTAATGTGTTGTAGTCTCTGTGAATGGTCATACAGAAAACCCAGAATAGTAGTGCAGAATGGGTTTAGAATTTGTGCTCAGAATTTCTATATTTCCAATAGTAATAAATTCAAGTTATTTCAGACATAAACAATGGAAAATATATAGCTCTGCATGCTGATAACTAGTCTAATTGCTAGTTTAAGTGCCTCAAGCAAAACTCAGAATATCCTTAAAAGAGTTGTACTGTTTGCCAATCAGAATGGACTGTGGATTTCAGCCAGTTCTTGCCAGTTTTGTGTGAAATATGCATTAGATGGTTAGTGAACAGACTGTAAATGGTTCATGCAAATCCTCTCACCTTGTCTGTGAGGATAGCAAGGGTCCTTTCCAGTGCATTGGTTGAGCGTTCTTTGGCAGCGCGGGACAGCCGCTCAGTGTAGTAGCTGACCTGCGTCTTGAGAGTGTTGATATGGGAAATGATTTCTTTAGCTTTCAACACATCCTGTGGCTGGTACCGCATAGAAAGTGGAGCTGACTCCCCGGCACTGAAACGAGACAGATCATTAAAAACAAAACAACAGCACATTCTCCAATTCCCCATTTGTTATCACTTGTTCAGCTGCACAAGCTGTGATCAAGTGGACTATACTGCAAATGAGATGGCGTGATATACAAGCACACACAGAAAACGTACACAAATGCCAAGTGCACATAATTGGATGGAGTGGGAGAGCAGTTTTGTGCGAATACATCATCTTCGAAAACACAAATGTTGGTGCAAACAAGAAAGATCCTTCACATTTAATGGAAGTGAAGTAAAGGACTCGACGCTGACCGATCATAAACAAGATGAAACACCACCACATATGAAAATGACTGGAAAACAACCCTGAAGATTTCTTTAGCTTTCAACACATCCTGTGGCTGGTACCGCATAGAAAGTGGAGCTGACTCCCCGGCACTGAAACGAGACAGATCATTAAAAACAAAACAACAGCACATTCTCCAATTCCCCATTTGTTATCACTTGTTCAGCTGCACAAGCTGTGATCAAGTGGACTATACTGCAAATGAGATGGCGTGATATACAAGCACACACAGAAAACGTACACAAATGCCAAGTGCACATAATTGGATGGAGTGGGAGAGCAGTTTTGTGCGAATACATCATCTTTGAAAACACAAATGTTGGTGCAGACAAGAAAGATGCTTCACATTTAATGGAAGTGAAGTAAAGGACTCGACGCTGACCGATCATAAACAAGATGAAACACCACCACATATGAAAATGACTGGAAAACAACCCTGAAACTCACCCTTCACCCTCATATGAACTGATCGGAAAGCAAACAACATAAAATCAACTGATTACAGTTCGCAGTCATGAGATAAATGTGAAATAATATTTTAATACATAAAAAAGTTCAGCCCTATGGAACATTATTTCTGCAACGTAATAAAAAAATGAATAATATTTAATAAAATATATCTCGCAATTCTGAGTTTATATCTCACAATTCTGACTTTTATGATTTTTCTGCAATTATGATTTTCAGAATTGAGATGTGCAATTCTGAGAAGAAAAGTATTGTGAGTCTATAACTCACAACCGCATGATATAATTTTTACAATTCTTACAATTTACAATTCTAAGATAAAAAGTCTGAATTGTGAGATATAGGCTCACAATTGTGAGAAAAAAAATCCCAGTTATCTTTTTTAATTTTTAATTTTGTGGTGAAAATAAGCTTCCATACCTCTTGCTACAAGAATAACACAGTAATAAAAAAAGAAAAGAATAAAAAAAGAATTATAAAAAGCCAAGAAACCTAGCAAAGCAACACAAAAACTTCATTTTATTCACTAATTCTTTAATAAAAGGTCTTACTGCTTTTTGGCTTCCTCAAATTTCTGAATGAGTTTCCTCAATCCACTGCCCTTAAAGCCCTGATGATGTGCCGCAGGGGCCCCAGTGGTCACCACGTCATATGTGCGATCTGTTCAGAGATGTACATTACGTGAAGACCAACCTATTTCGACAGACTAATGAAGAATTTCAGTGTTGAAATGCAAATATTGACCATAGATATCTCACCGTAACCGGACTCGCCCTGCACTCTCATCCTCTGAACGTGGAGGTTTGTAGGTATAAACTCTAGTTTTTTCTCTCCTTTCAGAGTGCTAGATTTGAAGGAAGGACCTGCCGGATAGTAGGTGAGAAGAATCAGATAAATACAATATTGAAATCACCTTTAATTATAGCGCTCTCACTTCCTCTTCTTGGTTGAGCAGGTGCCACAACACTTACCCTTGTATTCATGTAAATTACTGAGAGTCTCCTGATATGTGAGGATGATAGTCTGGTACTGAGTGATGATCTGTCTCCTTAGATTCTCCCAGCAGGGGGACAACTCGCCCAACTCTTCCAGCTCACACACCCTGTGTGCAACAATATAATAAAAACTTTATTTATTTATAAATATGTTACACAAATTCATAGTATTTGAGTAGTGCTAGTTAGAATCTTATAAATCAATTACATGTAATTTCCACATTGTCAAAATGTAATGTACTGCACAAAAGCTCACCCAAAAATTAAATTTGCAGAAAATCTTCTCACCCTCAGGCCATCCAAGATGTAGATTTGTTAGTTTCTTTATCAGTTATCAGAACCGATTTGGAGAAATTTAGCATTGCATCACTTGCTCAAGAATGCATCCTCTTGAATGAATGGGTGCCGTCAGAATGAGAGTCCAAACAGCTGATAAAAACATCACAATAATCCACAAGTAATCCACACAACTCCAGTCCAATAACGTCTTGTAAAGCAAAAAGATGCGTGTTTGTGAGAAACAAATCAATCATTAAAGTCCTTTATTCATAATATTGCCTTCTCCAGTGAAAAAGTTGTCTCATCTGAATCAGGAGAGATATGCACAGATCCAAAGAGTCCAAAAGAGTTCTAAACAAATATGTCTGTGAATGTGAGAGGAAAACGGGATGCACTTTTTCCACTGGAGGAAACATCATAATTGATTATCGACTTTTACAAACACGCAGCTTTTTACTTCACAGGATGTTCATTGATGTACTGGATTCATGTGAATTACCTGTGGATTATTGTGGACTCTCATTGTGACAGCACCCATTCTTTCAAGAGGATGCATTCTTGAGCAAGTGCTGTAATGCTAAATTTCTCCAAATGGATGAAGAAACATCTTGGATGGCCAGGGGGTGAGAAAATGTTCAGCAAATTAAAATTTTTGGATGAATTATTCCTTTAATCCTAGCGTTTCATAAGGGTGGAAAACAAAAACTCATATTTTAAACTGGGGAGTTTACCTTTGAGGTATGAAACTTGCAGTATGTTTTTATTGTAGCTTAACCTGTTATATGTATAAATACAAGGACATTTTGATTTTCCATTTCGTGTCCCCTTTCAAAAGAGTCATTCTGAGCATGAGCACTAACCGTGAATTGCATTTACCTGGCAGCATCTTCCTCCAGCAGTAGTTTGACGAACTGTCTTGGTATGTGCAGGGAGAGCACGCTCTCTGCCATCTGCTCCAGGACACGCAGGTGGTTTCCATCAGTCGTGGGAAGTCGGTACATCCGTGAAATAGTGCCTCCAAACACTGCATCAATCAATCAATCAATGGGTGTGTGTAATAGTGAGAGGCATGGAAAAGAGCAGCTACTGCATTTTACTGCATCTACTGAAGTATCAATTTGTAACTAACAAAGATGAATAAATGCTGTAATTTTGTATTGTTCATTGTTGGTTCATCTTAACGAATGTAGTAAACTAATGTGAACAAATGAAACCTTATGGTAACTGTTACTGCAATTTCTAAGTGAAAAATGCTTCACCACCAATTTTCTTTTTCAGTGTACATGCTGAGTGATGCAGCATTTTATTGAAGCAGAACTAAAGCCTTAAACCTAAACTTAAAGAACACTTCAAACTCTTCATTTGTTGCCTACAAGCACTAGTATATCCTTCAAGAAATTCTAATCTAGTTACAGAATGCATGATCTATTCACACAGATTATTTAACACTCTACAAATAACCACTCTTGTGTTTTAATGGCTGCAGGAACAGTTTTCAGAACCTCTTTCACAGCTTGTGGCATTCATGAGTCTTCACAGCAGGAAATGAAGGCTACAGCCCATTGGTTCAGTTATGAAGGGCACATTAGAAATAAACTGCTTCCTCCAGATGGAATGTAGTTGCAATAATTAAGTTAAGTTTTTTTTTTTTTTTTTTTTTGTAAATAGACATCAAAATTAGACACTCACCTGACTTTAAAAGAGTGTCTTTACATAGGGATGGTGATTTTGCTTTTACTCCCATGGATTCGGTCAGACTTTCATCAACAGGTAATACCATCTGTGAGAAACATGAGAACGATTACACAGAAGATTGTCATGTTCTTTGAGGTGACAGCGATTTAAATAGACACAGTTGTACAAAATAAAATAGAGACTTTCATCTCTTTAACAGAAGTGCCAGTTCCCCTTTTACAAAAACAAAAAAAAACAACAAAAAAAAATTACTACTGAAAGTCAGTGTTGTTATCATGGACTACAACTGTTAACTAAAACTAAAACCGTTAGAAAACATCTATATTAATTAAAATAAAATAAATGTGTATTGAAATTAATTTAAATATAAAAAAATCGAAAGTTTTATTTGTTTAGTTTCGTTTAGTTTAAGTTGAAGAACTAAAATTACTAAAACTAATACTGAAAAACTATATATACATTAAAAACTATATACTGTAGACATATATAGAACAAAAAAAAAAACTAATAAAAACACAACAAAATAAAATTTAAATTAAAATGGGAAGTATAAAAATAAAAACCCATATATTATATACTACAATACTATAATTGTATATGATGATACTAAAATACTATATAAAGTACCATAATGATACTTAAATTACAATGGCTTTGTCAATGTATATTTATAATTATATTAGTCATCAGTAATTCGAATATCAGTTTTGGACAGTGGCCACTTCAAAACTCACATCAGTCGACCACTAATGCATAGTGTGAAGAACAGCGTACGTAAGCACTCACCCTGCCATTAACTGTGTCTGAATGTGCCAGAGGAGCACGCTGGTCTCTCCTCTCCTCTATCTGCCATGCGATGATGGTAATGTTACCCATCCGCTCACTCTCTGCTGATCTGAGCCAGTGAAATGCCCACAAATAGGTGTCAGACTACATTTCCTGGAATTCCTAATAAATTATATGCTAACGTTATGCTGTGGGATTACACATCGGCTTTGTGCCTACATTTATCTCACATACCGCAGAGTGAGGTGTAGCCTGTGGTGTTTGTCTTGAAGCAGCTCTTTCACTGTAAACATAGCCGAACCGAGCAGGTACATCTAATAAAACAGAGAGTTTATGAGGCTGAGCAAAACAGGTACAGAATGTTAAGAATAATGGTTTCTGTCTTACAGTCCCCTGTGAGCGGTCCTTCACATCGTAGACAGACAGTTTGACTTGAGTCTGCTGGGTAATCAGAGATTCCTGGAAGAAGGCAATGCTGCTCAAGAAGATTGGATTACTAGTGCCCTAGGAAAAAGAAAAGGAAATGCCTGCATTCAATTCACATTAATATGCAAAATCCGATATTTAACAGGTTTTAGGGCCAGTTTAACAGTTCCATGGCATTTACATAATACACCAGAAAATTCAAAGGAATGTTACATACCCAAAGAACCATGGCAATATCGTGATTTATATCATTATTGTTTCCCCTTGGGAAAAATAAGTGTACTTAATTGTATTAATTGTGCACTTGTAGTGTACTTCAAATTGTATTTGTAGATGTTTACAACCCTGTTTATAATTACGACCCTATGTGTTTTGTTGTTTTGAGTGTTTCTGTGTGTGTCTGTCCAGGTTCCTTCAGGCTGACTGATACTATGTCCTGATTGGTGCATAGTACCTTAAAAAGCACATCATGTATTAAAGAGAAAGTATTAGTGTCACGAATCCTGTCCATGGACTTCCGTCCGATTGCCACCAGAGGTCACCCTTCCGTTACATTGACTCTCACACTACACAAACTGTTGCATGTCATCCCAGACTACATATCCCAGCATTCATTGCACTGATTACACACACAGCTGCTGCCAATCACACACCCTACATAAGCCATAGACTTCCTCTCTCTCACTGCCGAGTATTGTTTAGCGTATCACTGTGTTAGCGATAGCTACATCACGGAGCCAGTTCCCAGTCCTAGTTCTCAGTCTAGTCTTGTTATAACCTGATCGCCTGTTACCTGATCTTTTGTCAGTCGTGGATTTTCCCCTTTGTCTTGCCGTTTTGGACTATGTTTGCACCTTGCCTGGACTATTGCTTGTTTGTGGATTACCCGTTTGCCTCACCCTCTGGATTACGTTCCCCGTCGTTTGACCCACGCCTGTCTCTGGATTACTCTCTCGTCTTGCCTGTGCTATATCTGCTATTGTTGTCGACCCTTGCCTGTTTTTGACCACGTCTGTTAAATAAAGCATTGCATATGGATCCGCACACTTCCTCTGTTCTCTCCGTAACAATTAGAGACTGTGAGTAATGACTGTTTGTTTGAGTTGGCAATCGTTTGTATTTGTGTTGGGGTATTGGACCTTTTGCCTGTTTTCTGACACTGATTTTGGATTGTCCTCTCAATGTGTTCACTTGGCATTGTAAATAGTTTTGTTTGTAAATATTGAGGATTGGGAAAGTAAGGAATCGAATGCCATTTTTGTTTATTGTGAACTTTTTGATCTTTGTTTTGGGCTAGGCAGTTAGTTTGCTTTGCTTTGCTTTGCTTCGCTTTCCTTTCCTTTCCTATTCAATCCGGTTTAAGAAAGAGAATTAAAATCAAGGTTTTGTTTGTTATTTTGGCCTGGTCTATTCCCAAACTTAGATCCCCAATTTTAAACAAACACATTATTGTTTTGCTGCCTTGTCATTTTGCACCCTTTTCCCTAGACGGAGTGTAACAGTAGATAATGTAATCTTAATGAAATAAAAGGCCCCTTAAAGTGAGCACACTTTCATGACTATGTTTCTTAACACACTTAAGTACACTTTTAAAAACTACATTTTGTAAATGTCAAATTACATTTTATTTTAAAGCACAATCATTGTTTTAATAACCATTTGTCGTGCTTTATAGAAGTACACTTATTTTGATGTGTTGACTAACATACTGAAGCACAAGTTGATTATGTGTTATGCAGTAATACATTTAAGTATTAAAATATTTAAGGCAAGGCAAGTTTATTTATAGAGCACATTTCATACACAATGGTAATTCAAAGTGCTTTACATAAAAGGAATTAAAATAATCATAAAAATAATCACAACAATGAAAGCAAGGAATTACAATTTTAAAATTATTTAAAAATTAATTTAGAATTAATTAAAACAGATAAGAATAAAAGATGATGATACACAAAATACAATGCTATCAGTGTGGACGTAGCACACTGCTCATTCAGCAAATGCCCAGCTGAACAGATGTGGTTTGAGTCTGGATTTGAATGTGGCTACTGTTGGAGCACATCTGATCTCTTCTGGAAGCTGGTCCCAACTGCAGGTGGCATAATAGCTAAAAGCGGACTCCCCTTGTTTTGAGTGAACCCTTGGTATTTCTAACTGACTTGATCCTGATGATCTGAGTGGTCTGTTAGGTTTATATTCAGTGAGCATTTCTGCAATGTATTGAGGTCCTAGGCCATTTAGTGGTTAATAAACAAGTAATAATACTTAATGCAACTGGAAACCAGTGTAAGGACCTGAGGATTCGTGTGATAGGCTGAGATTTTCTGGTTCTAGTCAGAATCCTGGCAGCAGCATTCAAGCTATTTAAGTTATTAACATTTAAGTTAATATATATTTAAATGTACAAAATTGCAACTTCATCATTACAAATGTGTAATTACAAATATACCTAAAATGTATAAAATACATGGCATACACATTTCAATAAAAATGGCATTAAAGTATATTTTTGATTACCATAAATGATTGTCAGTATATTTGGCTGTACACTTTAACTATATTTTAAAGACAATAAAAGTAATTAGGAAATCCTTCTTAAATGGGTCAAAGAAGCACTCTAAAGTTCAAATAATTGCATTTAATATAAGCTAACACATTTTCATTTAACTGCAAGTAACATGCAATTAAATGTCCATTCAGTTTGCATTTAATTATATTCTTTTAAACATATCAGTTCCATAACAAGTACTCTTTTTTAAAGTATGCTCAAGTGTACGTTTTCACAAGGGAGACCAGCACGAAGAGAAAAAAAAAATCTAAATTATGGCTGTGACCCTTACGTACAATGATGGAATATGATGGCCATACCACGCTACTGACTGATATGATTGAACACCATGTTCATATTGCATGGTATTTTCATCTCACCTCATTATATTCAAAGGATACATCAACATGGTCAAAAAACCCTTGTATATCATGATACTTTTTGTTTTCATCCTCACCTCTATAATTTCAGTCTGTGCATGTTTGGTCCAAAACGCCTGTGGAGGGGTGGTGCAGCTCACTGCTACAAAGCTACTGGGCTTACGGTCTAGTGATGGAGTGACCAGCTCACTGCATGCTGGGAAAAGAAGGACAACAATTCAGTATATTAATCATGAAAGGAGAAAAGTGATTTAGCTGTAATCACACTCATAGTAGCATTACAATCCAGTCTTTGTAAGCAACCATCTGAAATGTTTCTTACGATGAAAAGTGAAATATGCCATAGAAACAAATGTCAAATAACCCTAGGTGGCTAACTGCCATCAACATGACGTTTCATCATGGAAAAAAGTAATGAAACTGTCAGTGAGTCCAGCTAAAGTCAGACAAAACCCAGTGCACCTAACACAATGGAAATATTTGATTTAACAGCCCAGAGATAGGCTGTATAAATGTTTATTACATGTGAGCTAAGAGGGTATGGCTGAGAAAGTGTTTCCTTTACAAATACAGTAGGCCGCATATTGTTAGTGGCGATAACCAAAAAAGGAGGAAGAATATGAGGTGAAAACTCTTCAGTGGTTACAGATGTACATGCATCTCCTGAATGAGTGGATAGCAGCATTGGTGGCGTTGTATTACAGACAGGAAATTCACTTCGGTATCGCTGCACCTTGATCACTTTATGATTGACTGAACTGCTGATACTCACCCAGACTGAACTCAAGCACTGGCTCATCAGGATCCTGACTGTTTCCTAAACACATGTGAAACACCACACAGAATTGCCATGAATACTGAGTCTTTTTATTAGTTTGTTAGCAAAGTATATAATCTTTACATTATTTTACTATTAAATGTTAAGATTATCTTAATGCAAGATATGTAGTCTTAAAGAAATATTCTGGGTAAAATCATGGTTGGGCAACATTCTCAGTTTAAGAATTGTCTTCGCATCCCCCAGTATGTGGAATCTAAATGACAGGAAAAGGAATTTACTTAACTGTAATTCTAAGAAAATCAACAGTCACACAGCAGAGTAATTTTATTAGTCTAACACAAATTTTGTGCTAAAACACTATTAAAACACACGATTTAGATGAATTATGCCTCGTATTCACTATATTTTATATGAATTTAAACTCAAAGTTCCATATTGATTATCACAGCCAATAAACAGATCTACATCATCAAAAATATCCCTCACACTGTTTTCAGATAAATGTAAAAATAAATATTGACATTAGAAAAATGTAAATCTACTGATAATTTTGGTATTATAATATATTTTTGTGTGTATGATAACGTTTATAGGTAACTCATAAAGAAAAATGCAATTTATTATTAAATATACAAGCAGTTCAGCAGATTAAAATTACTTACATTTCTTCGAACTTGAATCACAAATTTAAATAGAATTCAAAATAAATTCTCAATTAAAATGTGAACAGTTAATAATCTTGAGTTAAATGCAACTTAAAGGCTCAGTTCATCCAAAAATGAAAATTCTGTCATCATTTACACACCCTCATGTCATTCCAAACCTGTATGACTGCTTGGTTATTCAAAATATCTTCTTTTGTGTTGCTCAGAAGAAAAAAGTACATACACGTTTGGAACAATACGAGGGTGAATAAATTATGACGTAATTAAATCCTTTCAGAATTCAACTGACAATGCCTTTTAAAATCTATTTAAATTTGTGAATACATTTTTGGATGAACTATACCTTTAAGGTCTATTCAGAGCACCTGTGGCATTCTAATTATTACCACAGAAAAAACATATCTATGGTGGCCGAGAGAGCTCAACGCGCTGCAAATGAAAACAACATGCAAATAGAAAAAACACCTGCAAATTAAGAAAACATCTTCATACATTTGACAACACACACGCTGCAAATGCTCACAACACAACCAAATAAAGAAACGCGCTGCAAAAACAGAAACGCGCTGCAAATAATAATAATAATAATTAGTTACATTTACAACACAAACAAATAAAGAAACGCGCTGCAAATACTCACAACACAACCGAATAAAGAAACGCGCTGCAAAAACAGAAACGCGCTGCAAATGCTCACAACACAAACAAATAAAGAAACGCGCTGCAAATAGGCACAGACCACATCGGAAATGTTTAGGGGAACCGTAAAGTGACGAACATGGATGGGACATATTTATCAATGTTTGCTCTGAAAGGTCAGATTTTTGTTTATTTTAACATCCTGATCATACGATTCCTTTGCTTTTTTTTTTTTTTTTTTTTATTTTTAGCCTAAATAATATTGAATGGAATAATATTGGCAATTTATCGATTACTGACAAAAAATGAAGATAGTTATCAGAGCCAGACTTGTACTACCAGTCTATTCTTACAGATATGTAAGATATGACCCCTGTAAGTTTTTCTGTCACTGGCTAAATAATAGACACCACTAAAAAATGACAAAGTGCAGATAGGTTGGTTGTATTTTCTCTGTTTTTGTGTTTATAGTAAAAGACAAAAGTAAAAAAATGGTTACTATAGTTAAACCATGGTAACCACAAATTAACCATGGATTTACTACACTAACCATTGTTTAACCATGGTATTTGTACAACTGTGGTTATACAAATGGTAATCAATAAAAAAACAAAAAAAACATGGTTAAGTTTTGTTGGGGTCCTCCCATTGTTGTCTGTACTTGCGTTTCTGTATTCGGTTGTGTTGTGAGTATTTGCAGCGCGTTTCTTTATTTGTTTGTGTTGTGAGCATTTGCCGCGTGTTTTTTATTTGTTTGTGTTGTGAGCATTTGCAGCGTGTTTTTGTATTTGATTGTGTTGCGAGTATTTGCAGCACATGTGCTGTCAAACTGATGAAGATGTTTTCTTAATTTGCTGGTGCTTTTTCTATTTGCATGTGTTTTCTGAAGTTGCAGCGCATTGAGCTCTCTTGGCCACCGTACATATCTCACATGTCAGGAATATATATATATACATATATCACAAGAGTATAAACTTCTTGTAGGCCTACAGCCAAAAGTTATTTGTGTAGGCAAAACCCCACACAATCAAGCTAATAATAATAATAATAATACCTGTTAGCGCCAACCCCATCATCTCAGAGGACAAATCAAATGTGTTGGCTCGGTACACAGACCATGGCCTGTGGCGTGGACTGCGCTCTCTTCCTGCCATCTTGGCTCCAGTTACTTCAGTGACCAATGTAAGTAACTCTTACACTCCCACTTTATGTTGCCAGTAAAGATTTTCCAGTAATCCCGGCTCTGTTTCAGTCTAAAAGTTTGGAATCTAAAAGCAAGAGAGAGAAGGGGACAAAAAGGATGAGTCAACATTTGCGTCACCATCTGTCTGGAGACTGAAGAACCAGCGGACCCCGAGGCTGTTTACCTGAGACAACCAAAGAATGAGACAAAGAATGAGTGCTTGATCTCAAACCACTATGTATGTCTCTACATTATTTATGCGGTTTCATATGAGGACATTTATAATTGAACACAATGACAGAACAATCAGAAAGCCAGAAAATTGTCTTATGTTTATGAATTGATAATTCATGGCTTACAGGAAATGTTTCACAAACAGGATGCTAAGAAGGATTCCCAATAACACACAACTTCACCCAAACACTTCATATGCTGTACCTAAAGTGTACATATTATTAACTTCTCCTCCATAGAATATAAAAAAAATAAGACAGCGGTCGTGCAAGACAGACAAATTAAACCATAATCTAAAAGCAATGCAATTAAATGTACATTAAGTGCAAATATCCTGTCTTGCTGGCAAAGTCTGAAAATGAAGCAGATGAAAACATTTAGCAAGTTTTAATCTTGGACCTCTTTATTAGGCTAGTCTTTTCACAGAAACACTGACCAATATATATATTTAATAAGTAGTTTTGTTATAGGGTTTATTTGTTTTAAAAGCTGGAAACCAGTTAATAACCTGGTAATTTAGTTCTGATCATTTTGCATGAACTCAGGGAAGATGAAAAAATTAACTGTAAACTTAATTGCACACTTTTGTCATGCCACTTATTTGCTTAGAGCAAGAGTTTCTCTGCTGTTTGGCACAGACTGTAATAGTTTATTAATGCGTATATAACGGTCAAACATCATTTATTTTATTTTATTTTATTTAAAAAATAAAGTTCACTCTAAAAAATGAAGTGGCTTTGTAAATATCCTGACTGGGCGCAGGTTTTTGAGTCAGAGCCAGAGAGCAACTGTCTTCTCAGTGCCGCCAAATTGGTGCATTTCTTCTGTGAAATTCAGGTTTGTGTATTTTTATTTCATCTATAAAATAATGTAGTAATGTTACTATGCTTTAAATAATTTGATTTAATGCAAAGCAACACACAGACGCTATGAGGCGATGTCATCAACCTGATGGCTTGCATAAAATAAATGCATACAATTTTATTACTAAAGATAGTGAAAATAATTAATTTGGATGATAAATCTATCCCCAGAACTGTGCACTGTTTGTCACAGCATCTTTCGGTTATGAGTGAAACGCATGGCGGCATTCTGAAGTAGGGGGGGGCCCGACTTCATGTCCTGCAAAGTACGCTTTTGTAAACGTTTAAACTAACATTGTAATATATCTTCTATATCTATTTTATATCTATAGATTTTATTTTAGGCAAGTCATGTTGATTTGAGAAGGCTAAACTGATCAAACTTGATCAACTCACTGTCTGCCGCTATCCGCTTGGTCGCCACTTTAAAAAACAAAAACTTGAATTTAACAAACAAAAAATGTTCCAAACATTTTTCTAAATTCACTTAATAAAGAAACGAAAAGAAATGTAACCACTTTGCAATTGAAAACAAAACTGAACTATTTTAATGGCTGCAACAGCAGCTGTGTAATTAGGAAGCGAGAGAGAGAAAAAAGACACGTGCTCCAGTCGGACTCGGGCCGAGAATTCTGATAAGCTGTCGGACAAGGACCGGGCTATAGGGCCTGAGCGTCTCGGGCCAGGTCTGCATTCTTAATGGCCACATCTGTACAAAGGTGTACCTTTTGAAAATGTACTGCCCCAGTGACAGCTATTGTACCTTTTTTTCTGAGAGTGTAAAATAAACTGCTGTTGGTCACTTTGCCATACATAAAGAATTGGAGACTGGGTGAAGGATTATATTTATCACAAAGCGCTTTATCAAAGCAGAGAAAATAAGACTGAAAATAGGGTTGCAAGACTCTCAGCATGTCTAACCCTCAGGGATTATTCAGGAAGAATGAACCAGGCCCAGTGATAGCGTCATTTATTTGCTCTCTCTGTGTTGTTTTAGTATCCAGTTCACTAAAGGAATTATGCCAATAACGTAAGTGCAAACGTAGTACTACAAAATTAGCTGAACGCAGTTTCCGTCAAGCAACTTCCTAGAGTGTTTGGCTTCAAAGGATGCAGAAAACTATTACAGTACACTGAGACTGTACAACACGATTGAATCCTGTCACAATGAGGGTGAGAATGAGGGTGAATGAGGATGCAAATACTCTACATCCGTGGCGGATGGAGGGTTTTTGGCTGTGGTATAGGCAAAGCAGCCGGTAGTGGGCTGCAGTCTGGGTCTGAAGGGGTGGACGACTGCTTCTGACTCAGGCTCCAGCAAACACGACCAACAACCCACCAGCCATCCATCTGCCTGATATAGTCCACCACACAGCCTAGAACATATCACAATGAACAACACATTTATCATAATGTGTTCACAGCAATTAAGAATAAAAATTGGCCATAATCAGAATACTCATCTCCTGCCTGCAGTTAAAGATTTCCATAAACTGTAGCAGAAGGATTGATGATTACCACACTCATATTAGCCTTGACATTTCACGCATATTAACCAGCAGTCTCTGCGCTGCTTCATTCTCTAAAATGATTTCTTACAGACCTCATTCAGACTTACATTCAATTAGGGATGGAACGATTACCGGTTTCACGATAAATCACGATAAAATGCCCTGACGGTTAGTATTATCGTTTAAAATTGAATTATCATTCAATTATGATTTAAAAGAAACTGCCTTCATGCCAAATGCACCAATTTGATACAGATTCCATCAGGAGAATATGGAAATATTCAGAAAACAGATGAAAGTGACTGTGGTGAGATGTTTGTTGATGCTAATTAAATGTTGTCTCTCACCTCAAGGATCTTGCTGTAGTCACTCATCTGAATCACTCACAGCACAACACAACACAAACACATTTAACCGATACAAGCTGCCTCTTCCACTCATAATGTGAGAAGACAGACAGTTTTATGGAATCAGGAATGGAACTGGGGGATGATATTCTAAAAAAAATAAAAGACGTTAAAGGTTATTTATATTTAAATTATATAAATTATACTTTTATTCAACAAGGATGCATTACATTGATAAAACAGAAAGACATTTATAATGTTACAGATGATTTCTATTTAAAAACAAAAATGCTGCTAACTTTCTATTTTTCTAGGAATCCTGAAAAAAATGTCTCACAGTTTCACAAAAATATCAAACAGCACAACTTTTTTTGCAACAACAGCAACAACAATTTCTGTAAAAAATTTGCTTTTCCACCATAGGAATAAATTATATTTTAAAATATAGTCAAATACAAAACAGTTATTCTAAAATAAAATATTTCACAATATTATTGTTTTACTAATTTTTTTTATCAATTAGGGAAGGATTCAGTTAATTTAAGGATTCAGAGCCAACTCTGAGCCAACATTTTACTCAGTTTTACATATCCTAGTACATTACAAATCACAAATTTAGTTCTTGGTTTTGAATTTATTTCTCAGCATTGCAACACAACTTATAATTTTAAGACATCGTTGATGCAAACATTGACACTACATACTGGACACTACAAACTATTAATTAAAATGTCTATAATATTAAAGTCTCAATAACCAAAAAAAATTATTTTGGTCAAGAGTGTCTTACTAAAATCTAGCTGTTTTTGCATCTCGAGGTCTTTTACTTAGTGATTAAGAACGGCACAGGACGCCAAATTCTGTCCTATTCTAATTAAGGCAAAAATGCCAAAAATAAATCTTTTTTAAAAAAAGAAAAGAAAAAAAGAATGGCACAGGGCTGACAGAACAAATGGCCGCTTCTGACTTACTGGTTGCCTGTCACATGAATTTCACGAAAATAAAAAAGGACCACTGTACGAACATAACCTATTGTTATGGGCTAAATTATGATTGGAGAACTATATGCTGTGAATGCGTATGTTGAATATTTTCTATATGCCCATGGATTGACAAAAATAATTAAATCCAACAAACACAGCCCCATTATGTTTTAGTAACGAGTAAAACCACAGATGATATGTGACTTTACGTTTGCTGAAAAAAGAATTGGCGGCAGATCTGAGAACAGAAAGTGTTTGGATGCCTCAGTGAACACTGCTGGTTCAATTATCAGAAAGAGGAAGTTACAACCAACACTGCTTCAAAAAAGTCATGCCTCAAAGCTCTTTGTGTAAAAACGGAGATGACTTATAAGAGAAGTCACAAACAGGACCACTTTAAAAGGAACTGGATTATCTGAAAATGGTGCACAGGTTAGCCATATCTTCAGCTTTGTGCAACACTGGACAGGACCAGTGATGTGTTGCAGCAGCCTGAAGCTGCACATTATCCCAGAATGTTCACTAGCACAGACCAATCAGCTATGAGCCTTTCTTGCTGTTGTAGATTTCAGGAATAAGAAAATGAGTGAATAATTATGCATCCTATTCAACAGAATCCATTGTTATAAGATGAATTGACTTATGTGATTATTATTATAATGTTAGTATTGTAACAAGCGCATATAAATATGGCTAGAAAGAGATGATTCAGGGTACGTTTACACAACAACGATGTACTAAAAACGGAAAGGTTTTACTTTTAATTTTTGAAAAGTCTCATGTACAGATGACAATGTTGTCAAAACGGTCCTTGTTCACCATTTTTGTAGTGTACACAAAAATGGCATCAGAGATGGTATCATTTTCAAAAACTTGCACTTTGAAACCCATTTTCAAAAGTTTGCACTTTCAGGCCTCCAAAACAGTGTAAATGCAGAGCCGATCCTCCCTATATGCAAAATACGCAAGCTGCGTAGGGCCCCCGAAACACCAGGGGGGCCCCTTGCACTCAAAGATGATTTAATTTTAGTTTGGTTTTTGAATTTGGCCAGCGGTTATGAAAACATGAATGACAATTTCTTTTAATGCGGTGCGCTGTCGCCATTTCTACGTAAAAATCAGTCAAATTGTGTAACGTGAATGTCGT